TTGGCCAATGTGTTTTCTGAGGTCATAGGCCATTCATTAGGAAGTTCTAGAGAACTTCATACTCCCTTCTGAGCAACTTTATGGAGATGCAGATTTCCTTTTCCAAATGGAAGAGCTACCAGGATCTGGTTTGAGGACCATAGTATCCCTGTTCTTAATTGAACAGTAAACTCACCCAACCTGAATAAGATCTTCATTTTGTGAAGAGGAAGATGCAATACGCCAAACCTAAAAATGAAGACGAGCTGAAGCTTCTATTATCAGAGCTAATTGGGCTCTCAGAAGACCTTAGCAGCCTTAACAGGCTGATCGACTCCATACCGCATCGCTGCAGAAATCAAGTACTCATACTTTTCAGTTGGTCAACATTTCTAGAGTTCAATTCAGTGTATTTTTTTATAATGCCATTTTACAACATGTCATCTCAAGGCACTTTACAGAGACAATTCTGTCAGATTGGTAAAAAAACAAACAAAACAAGTGTCTTATCTAAGGAAAACCAGCTGATTGCATTGACTCATTGACGTCGACAGGAAATCTCTCACACTGAAATCCTTTTTTGCTAATGGTCTTGAGTAAATTAAATATTCTGAAAAACTGAGTTCAAATTTGTTTTCTATCAGATGTCAGTTATAACCATTAGCATCAAAATAATTAGATAGTTGAAAGATATCAGTCTGTGTGTATTGTGTAAGAAATAAAAGTTTCACGCTTTTAACAGAAAAACTAAACAAAAAAAATGTTTTAATGTTATTATGATCTTATAATCTTATGATCAGCACATATAAAATCCTTGTGAAATACATAAGATTTTAGCAATGGAAAAATTTCAATGGCTAATTTGTATTTTCAGTTGTACCATTAATGTATCACACCTTTCACTCCCATATAAACCACCTTTCTGAAACAACAAGCTCTCCCAATGTTAGTTTGCATGGACTTCTGGCTCCCTGGCTGTGAACACAAACAAGGCTGAACGTTTGACCGATAAGGGGGAGCTCAGCAGGAGGCTCATGGCCGAGCGGATGTTTCTTTGTAGTGTCTGGAGGGCCTCTCTCACCCAGCACCTCCTGACCTCTGTCAGAGATAATGCGAAGCCACTGCTGTTAAGGACGCTCCCCCGCCTCAGCTGTTTGACCAATGGCAGCTCAGCATTATGTAAAAAATGGAGAGAAAAAACGCGAAACAAAAGTTGATTGGAAACTTTTTAGCAGGTTTGAATAATGTGAGAACTTGTGAGGCTATGCGTAAAGGATAAAATTGGTGACTGGTTTCTGTCCAAAGAGAAACCAGCTGCAGCCATTAAGGAGCCCAAACGTCTCCAACTCTATAGGCTGGTGTCTAAAACATTCCTTCTTTAGTAAGGCTAATGACTGAAAGCTTGTTTTTAACTGTTAAAAATGTGCTTTTATGCTTTTTTACATCAGAAACACAAAATCAATTACACTATGTCACTTTTTATTAAGTAGAGATATACATTTAAACAAAAAACTGTATATAAAGTGTATGAAGTTGATTCAGAAGTGCACAAAAACACCTTTAAGAGCCAAAATAAAAAAAAATCTGTTATTTTCTCTTTGAATGTCTCTTATATTGAAGGAATTTTAGTCGCGCTCTTCTGTATAATATAGCTCATATTTAATTAGGAATTATGCTGGTGAACATTCTGAGTCATCCAGGTTATAGTAATTCCAAAAAAGTAAAAAAACAAAACCCAAAGCACTGGACTTTGTTTTTCCAAGTTTGAAGATGTTTCGCTTCCCATCCAAGAAGCTTTTTCAATTCAAAATGACAGACTTAGCGTTGAGTTCCAAGCCTTATAGAGTAGCACAACAAAGCCTTTTCTTAGCTTAGAAAACATGCAAATTGAACCAGTTGAAGTTCAAATCTATAAAGCTTGGAGCTCAATGCTAATTCAGACATTTTGAATTGAAAAAAAGGGAAACTTCTTCAAACTTGGAAAACAATTCCAGTTTTCTTGGGGTTTTTTTCAATTGAACAACCTTTTCAAAGTCAGACCACAGCTTTTTAATTTTAAGGACACTGTGTGACATTTATAATGAGGAAAAACCAAGTATTGCTTTAATAAATGCATCCTCAAAGTCTAAAAACATCACATCAGCAATGAAAGCGTTATTACAGTTTAAAATGAGTATTTTATGAAAATGTATGTGAAAGTGCATGCAATGGCAGACATCATGTTGGGTCATCATTTGGTAGCTGAAAGAGGATAAACCTGCCAGTTTTACACATTTTACCTGCAAAACCTGAAAACATGTCAGTTCAATTTCAATTCAATTCAGTCTATTTATATAGCGCCAATTCACAACACAAGTCATCTCAAGGCACTTTACAAATTCAACCAGATCATACAGTCAGTGGAGCAGAAGTTTAGAACAAGCAAACAGACTGTAGACCGTTTTTTCCTTCTACTTTCTGTTATAATGGAGAAACATCCATACTCTATGTCCAGTGAGAGGCAAGGGAAACAAACCGAAAAAAGACAAAAGAGTTAAGGAATTAAGGCTTTTATCAGGTGGAAAACACTTGATAAAATGAACACGGAGGTTTTGGGCGAATTAGTTTTTTTGCCGTTCTGTTAGAAACAGGGCACCATAGTCCCACAGCTAGTCTGTCGCTATTAGAGACAGCTGGCTTTTATTTTAGCCGACACAGGATGAGCTCTGATGCAACAGTTATCAGCTGCTGCTGTTCTTTACTGAAGTTAGACCAGCTAACACATGTAGGATTCTTTCAGTCATGTTTTTATAGAAATGCTTCATGTGTCCCATTTAAATATGAGAGAGTAATGAGGGCTAATGTGTTCCTCTCCATTCAAAAAGAGTCTTTCTCCATGATTTGCATGGTAGGTCTCAGACGGCGGACGGGAGACACCAGTCTGTTGTTTGTAATTCATATACAGCACCACTAGATGGGGATAAATCCGACACACTGCCCCTTTAATCTGTTTTACATGATTTTAATAGGCTGGGCAAGAAAAACTCTAAAGGAAATGGTGTATTTTTTGTTTTTTTTAAAGAAATCCGTTCCCAGGTCACTCGAGTTCCGTCTGACTTTTTTTTTTCTCATGTCACATTGATTGCAGTCTGTAGAGAGGGGCCTATGTTATGCATAGTGATGCAGATCACGATCTCTGCAGATTTTTAATTCTTTTTATTTCACTTCTGTCTCTGTGCTTTCCCAATAGAATTATTATTATTATTAATAGATTATTAAAAACAGGCGGCGCTGCTAACAAGCAAAGCCCCATTTTATGACTAGCATGCTCTAAAACCACAAAAAAAAAAAAGAATTTTGATATATGCAAAATATACAGTAATAGTAACTATGGGTTAAAGGATTATATAGTGTAGTGGATGAAGCAGTAAAGGGGATTCTCAGAGAGCGATCTGTGAAGAAAGGGGAGAGTGATAAGCTGCTTGTGTCCTTTGTTTTGTGTTTTTCGAGGCTCAGATAGGATCACTGTTTTATTTTATGCTTTTTTTGTCTTTCTGAACTCCTACAGTATGATGGGAGGAATATTTTCTGATAGAGATGTTTAAGTGATTGCTTATGCCAGAGTCTGTCCAAATGGGGCAAACTTTTCTGTTTATTCTTGTGATTGAAAGATTTTATTTTATATTTCCCCTAAAGTGGAAGTTACTTTGAAACCGAATTTCTCTCAGACCAATCAAGCTGACCTTGTAACTCTGCAAAGTTCCACTAACATAGACCTAGGATCTATCTATCTGCAAACCCCCATTGAAAATCATGTCAGGTGTTTTTTATCCACATTGACTCCCAATGAGCGCTAAACGCCAAGTCCGTATGACACAAATTTCTCTGAGATCAGATGCAAAATGGTGTTCAGTGTGTTTAGGGCTTGATAGTTTGGTGTTTAAAAAGGTCTTTATGGTTAATTCAGTCAATAAAATGTATTCAGGTATTCTAGTGACCAGATTTGTTCTGAATTTGTTTTTATTTTTAGGCATCTCAAGCTAACATCTACACCTTAGTGTCATCCAGCTAAATGACTTTGTTCCAGAAAGCAAATATGCTTATTGAAGGCCTCATCCAAAACAAGCAGTTCATGTTAAGTCATCTTACATCCATATTGTCATAAAGATGAACATTTTCCCTCTAGAGGGGAGGTCTTCAACAGGGGGTCCGCAAAACCCCTAGGAGATCCACAGAGGTACTGCATGGCGGTCGTGAAGGATTTGCTTGATTAGACTTCTTTTTTTATATTCCCCTTGCAATTCTTCTACTAATTGAAATGTCTTTAAATCCACATTAACATGAATTTAACACACGGTAGTAACCAGATAAATGGAGGCAGATGTCTTTCAGGAGCTCTTTCAAGCTGGGCACCGTTTCTTTCACAACAACTGTCCCATCAACGAGGAATTAGAATCAGAAACACTTTAATAATCCCAGGGCTGTAAATCCAGCTGTAATAGATTGACTATAGGACCAGTTTGATATATCACAATTTTATACAATATATAGGGGGTCCCCGCTCCATCTCGCCATCAGTTTTGGGGTCCTTAGCATGGAAAACGTTGAAGACCCTTGCTCTAGAGTTTTAGATTGATTTGACCTTCGCAGTGAGGGGAATATCTAGCCCCTATGGCTTATAATAACTTGGAAATTATCTGTTAATCTTTTCATCTACTCTCTCCATCTACAGACCTTTGGTAAAAGCATCTCTGGTAGGAGGATGGAAGGTGGGATACACCCTGGACATGTTGCCAGTTTAATAAAAAAAAACAGAAAGTTTTAAATGTTTCCTGAAATGTAAAGCATTTCAATAGAAAAAAATGTTTTTTTTTTCATCTCTGCATGTCTAAGTTCCTCATGAAGACTATACATTTGGTCATGCTAGCCTCTACAGCCACTCCCAGCTGACTGTGGGGGGTAACATGAAAATCAGTCTTCATGTATTTTTTATTTCTATTTTTTACCACTCAAGGTAATTTTTCATGTGGTTCCTTCTTTACCTTTTTGTGCATGTCTGCTCAGTTGGGGTCCTGGGGATGCTGCTCTTCACCAGAGAAAGAAAATGAGACATCTTGGTCCAGAGCAAAGGCTGCGTAGGCCTGCCCCGTTTTGGCTGAATCGAGTGGATTTTTCCCATCTCGGCTGCGATCAATCTGCCGAGAGAAAAAAAAAACATTTTCTCCAATGACCCTGGGCGGTACTGTTATTGCACAAACAAGCATTATCAGAGCAGAAACACAACTCCCTTTCCATTTAGCTTTCTTATCTTGTTCTTTTTAAAATAATGGCCCTCCTTGTCTATGTGACCTTTCAACTGCTTGATTTTTTTTTTTTTTTTTTTGTTCTTAAGCCATCTTAGCCGTGACATGGAGTTTCCTGGGAACCCGCCAGAGATGGTACTGTGCAGAGTGAGATGATTGATCTGTTTCGTGGCCCTGGCTGTTTAGCCTTGGCTGGCTACAATCCTGTGAGTGATGGAGTTGGCCTGTTACTGTATGCAGGACGGGAATGAAATGAACCATGAAAGAAAAAACGTGAAAGGTGATTAAAGTGATATTGAAAGCAAATATCATCAGTAAAAAAAATAAAAATTAAAAAACTAAAGTAACAAATTAACTAAATGCTTCTTTAAATGACAGTAAACTATTTTCTTACAATTAACAGAATAGTTTCAAATGACATGTTCAAAGCGTAGGGTAACATTAATGGTTTCTATCTAATAAATGATGTAGAATCTTTCCAATAAAAGTACTTACATTTTGTTAACAGAATTTATTACCTTAAAACTTTTACTGAGGGTTTGAAAATGTTTATTTGTTACTATTATTTCAATATTTCTTTTTTCAGTTGAGCTTCTATCAACTTAGTTCTAGTAACAACTTAGTCTTTTCATACTTTATTTGAATTCCATGTGCAGGATTCAAAAAATATCTTTTATCCCTGAACTTCTGTAATAGGGCTGGGTGATTAATCCATTTTTATCATTTAATCAAATTTTCTGTTTATAAAGATTTAAGTTTTAGAAAACCTATATATTTTTCCAGGAATACACCTCTGGCTTCCATAGGGTTCAATAGTTCATAACTTTTTGTTCTTAAATGTTTACCCATAACTGACTACAGTTCTGAGCTGCTGAGTTGGGCAGTTGATAGCACTGCTGCCTTGTAGGAAGAAGGTTGCAGGTTCGATTTCCAGCCCGGGGTCTTTCTGCATGGTGTTTGCATGTTTTCCATGTGCATGCATGGGTTCTCTGCAGGTACTCCTGCTTCCTCCCAAAGTCTAAAAACACCACTGTAAGTTTAACTGGCCTCTCTAAATATTCCTTACTGTAGGTGTGAATGTGTGCGTGGTTTGTGCTGTTTGTCTCTGTGTTTGATAAAGCGTGTCAGAAAATGGATGGACGATTCAGTTGTAGTTATTCTTTAGGTTTTTCTCCTTTTAGTTAGCTTTATTCATTTTAGTCTTCCAAAATGCTTTCACAATATGAGATTTTAAGTTAAATCTTCTTATGCAGGTGGAAGCAGACTTCTAGCAGTTACTCTGTGTACCCTCTGTGTTGTTTATCATGCAGTTTTTTTTGTTGTTGTTTTTTTTCTGTTTTCTCTCCTTTCTATCTATCTCCCTTTCTCGACTCTGTGTTCATTGCGTATGATTTTTAATCCCTAAATCATTTTGAGGAAAGTCTCATGTAAAAGTAACAATGGCAACAACCATAATGGTCTACTTGTGAAAGCATATCTTTTATCTAGCACTTGGAGATAAATCCCCAGTACTATATTGTCAAAAAAGACACAAAAATAAATAAATAAATCTCGCTTTTCCACTTGGAGGTAATAGTATGTTTTTGATGTTTACACATTCAGACACAAGTTTGACTTATTGACTCAGTGAGACTCAATCTGAAGAATTTGTGAGAAAGTTTAGATATATTCCACTTCCTTTTTTATTTTTTTCACTTTATTGTGTTGATATTGTGGTTATACACTGTATACTGGGAGGATGAGACAATTAAAAGAAAAGCAAGGTCAAAATCTTGTCACAGGGTTGATGTAGTTGTTGTATTTTTTTGTCCTTGAAAAATACAGTTAAGCTCTAAAATCATTCCTGAGTCTGATAGATTTAGATTCAAATATTCTTTCATTCAACCCACAAGATTTTTTTCTGACAAGAAATGAGACAGACGTCTTTCAGAAAAGAAAATGTAAAAAGAGTACATTTTGAAAAATAAAATCTACCTCTTTATTTACTTTTTAGGAGATTTGTGTCATTTAGGTTTTAATTAATTATTCCACTAATAAACAATGTAAATTATTGGTTATACAGAAATACAACTCTTTTTACTGTATAAGAATCTTCTTGATGTCCTTAAAAAAATAGACCTTCAGGTTTGTGGCCTCTATATACATAACATTTTCCCCTTCAGCTCAATTAACTATTTAGCGTGATGAAATAAAGGGGAAAGAAACTAATTTTAACTAATTTTCTCCATGTCTCCAGAGGCGCAACTGGCTGACCAGATTTCTACTACAACACAACATTGATGTTATTTGTTACCTAAAATCAGGGCAGGAATATTGATAAAAGGGCAAAGGATGGATTACGATTAACAGGCGGATTGAAAGAAGGAATGGAACTTGAAGTAACAGCGACACAACCATGGAGAGCCATCACAGTGAGGATAGTCTGTGGGGGAGTGGGTGTATAAGTTGGAGGATATCTCTCCACCAGTGGTGTCAAAAGTACACACATTTGTTAATTAAGTAGAAGTATAGATACTGCAGTTTAAAAACACTCTGGTAAAACAAGACAGAGTAAGCTACTTTTGTAAGTTTTTCTGGGTTACTTCACAATATTGGTAAAGCCAACTCTTAAACTGATTCAAGATCAAATGTAGTGCACTTTTTTAATTATACTAAAATGTGGGGAGTAAATTTGGTTCCTTTTATTGTTGTTGCAAACAGCAAACACATTTTTTAGATGGAAATTTAAAGAAAACATGTAATCCAGACTTGGAACATCCTCATCAAAAAAGGTTTTGAGAGTAACTTTGCTGTTTTAACAGATTACATTTTTTATGTTCACATTTTTGTTTATTTTATTTCTACAGATTTTATTTTGTAGAATCGTATTTCTTCAAATGTCTCGTTTTCAGATTGAGCTTCAAAAACTTTCAAATAGTATTTTTACAGATCACGCTTTCTTCACTTCAAGCCCAATAAAAACGCTTTTGCATTACACGCATATGCATATGCATGCGCATGCGTATTTGCATACACGTATGCATATGCATATGCATACATGCATCCGCATATGCATATGCATACATTGTCCAATACAAATGTAATTGCTAACATCCGACAGGCTAATAGAAATCTTCCTTTCTTACTCCAGTGGAAAGCCCGCTCCCAGAAATAAAAAGAATGTGATCTGTTAAATGCAATTTCAAATGAATGCAATGCTCGAAATTTAAGAAAAACAACAACACATTTCTGAAAATGTAAAATCTGTATTAAAAAGATAATAAACTTTGAAAAAATGAAATATTGGCAATACTAAATTTGAAAAAGATTAAAACAAAATCTGAAAACACCAAAGTTACACATTAAAAGAAAAAAAAAAATGATTCAGATTTTCAGTTCAGTTTCAAATCTGGATTGTATTTTTTTTCATATTTCCATTTAAAAATGTGTTTTTCAGACTCTTTACAAAGACTATTTAATTAGATCATGGTTTAAAGTTTTACAAAAAACTAAATCTGCAGAGGCTGACTGAGGGTTTGAGAAGACAAAAGCAGACACACAAAAGGAACATAGAAGCACTGATCAATAAATAACTTCTATGTTATAAAAGGTAATGGTAAACTAGCTCCACAGGGGGCTCTGACTAGGAAAGAAATGGTTAACTACATAAGATATGAGTCGGTTTTTATTGAAAAGGTGACATAAGCCCTGCTTAGACTACCCTCTGAAAACCAATCCGTGCCGAGCTTGGATCAGTTAACCTTGCCAAGCTCGGTTCCTTACGACCATTTACACACCGGGTTAGCACGGTTCCTCGCCTCCTACTGACGATCTATGGTACTACTGCCTTCTTGAGGTAAACAACCAAATCAACATGGCAGCACCCGTAACATTCAAGAAGTTTGCGGAGTGTCAGGCGAAGAAGGCGGCCTTTGATGAATTTACTTGATCGAGTTGGCTTTTGGGAAGTGCATACAACAAACAATTACGGTGGCCCTGAAGTGCAAACTGCAACTACAAATCTAAAAGCACAACTACATTAAGGAAATCGCAACTACATAAAGCAAAGTGCAACTACATTAAGAAAAACAAAACTACATAAAGCAAAGTGCAACTACATTAAGAAAAA